AGACAAGACATCTTATAGGCCTGGTCTTGAGGAACCAAAAAAAAAAAAAAAAAACCAAACCCAAACTCACTGCCATCAAGTTGATTCCAACTCATAGTGACCACCTTTGTTTGGGTTTTCAAGGCAGTAAATGTTATGGAAGTAGATTGCCCCATCTTCCTTCCACAGAGTGGCTGGAGGGTTTGAACCATCAGCCTTCTGCCTAGCAGTCAAATGCCTTAGGCATTAAGCCACCAGAGCTTGACTTAAAGAGCGCCATAGTCAAAATGGTCCTTGGAGAGTGTTTATAGAAGAGTCAGGAAACAAAAGCTCCGAGAGAGAGAAGTGACTTTGCTCTGAGTTAACTGGTGGTGGAGCTGGCATCACAACACAGATTTTCTGCCTCTCTGAACCTGTATTCTTTCTGTCATTCATTCAATCATCTAGGAATTTGTTCATTCAAGAAACATTTCTTGAATTGGCGATTCTATGCCTGGCACATAAAAGGAAGCATGACCTTCAGAATCAGCAGAGACTACAGTCACCCACAATGGGTTCTGATTAGTGCTACAGGGAAAGTATGAAGGTGAAAAGTTTTGACTATTGGCCCTGACAATGACTAGCTGTGTGACCTTGGGCAATGTGCTTAGCTTCTCTGTGCCTCATTTTCCTCATCGATAAAAAAAAAAAACAACATTAACTGGCCTTTTAGGATTACTATGAGGAGAAACTGGGTTGCTACAAGTGAGATACTCAGAACACACTCCTCGGAAGGAAGATGGGGCAATCTACTTCCGTAGTGATGCTGTCTCGGTCTTGGAAACCCAAGGAGGGGTCGCTATGAGTCGGATTTGACTCGATGGCACATAACAACAACAACAAAACAATTAATAAATGAGCAACAGTGGTTTAGTGGTGGAATTCTCGCCTTTCAGGTGGGAGACCTGGGTTTGATTCAGCCACCACCCATCTGTCAGTGGAGGCTTGATGTTCTATGATGCTGAATAGGTTTCAGCCAAGCTTCCTGACTAAGAAGGACTAGAAAGAAAGGCCTGGCCATCAACTTCTGAAAATCAGCCAATGAAAGCCCCGTGGATCACAATGGTCTGATATGCTGAAATACATCACCAGCCAAGCTGGTGCACTTAATGCCAGCTGCCTCTGTCCCTGTGCCAAACAAGGGGTGTGGTTTACCTTCCAAGTCTGTTTTTCTAGGGTTAACATTAAAATGAGTTGGTATTTGCCTTCCCTGAATGTACACCACAGTGGGAGATACAGCTAAGTGAGCCAAAGTAGTCCATGTGGGCTGGGCTGGGCTGCGGCTTAGAGATGGGGGCAAGAAGGAGGGATTGTGTTTAGTTCAAAGAGCATTGGTGGCTCAGTGGTAGAATTCTCACCTTCCATGTGGGAGACCTGGGTTTGATTCCCAGCCAATGCACTTCATGCACAGCCACCAGCCATCTGTCCATGGCGGCTTGTGTGTTTCTGTGATGCTGAATAGGTTTCAGTCAAGTTTCCAGACTAAGAAGACTAGGAAGAAAAGCCTGGTGATCTGCTTCTAAAAATCAGCCAATAAAAACTCTATGGAATGGTGCCTGCACATTTAAACAGTAGGTGTATAAATGAGAGTCTAACATCACTGCCAGCATCCCACATCTACACTGCTCATCCAGGGTCACACCAGTGGTAACATTCAAAGCTAGCTTTTGGTGCTAGGCTCCTAAGTCTTTCTACTTTCTGATTATGTGCAATAGTGGTGATGATGAATATAATTAATGTCACTGAACTGCACACTTAAAAATGGTAACAATGGTATCTTTAGTGTTATATATGTTTTATCACAATAAAAAAAAAGATAGTTGTAATGAGAGACCTCCTCAACCCTGGCTTTTCAAGGTCTGGTCACCATGCCATTGAAATCAGTGTGCATATATATGTGATAGCAGTTATTAGATAGTGATTTGCATGTGTGCACATGCATGCATGTACACTCATTGCATATCAGACAGGCTTGGGGGGACATGTCTCTGACTGGATGGCCCCCTGCCTTTGCCTTGGCTTCAAAATCACTGGGTTTGAGAGCTGTTAAGAACAGGTGTGTGTCAGTCATGTGAATCAAATGGAGGCAGAAAAAAAAAAAAAAGACAAAATTTGGCTTGAGGCCATTCCGGCTTCAAAACTCTTTTAAAAACAAGATGAGCTGTTTGCTCCCTTCAAGGAAGGGACTGATGGACGATTCTGAGATCTCCCTTGGTAATCTAGCATCTTGTGGTTCCTGTAACAACGACTGAGAATTCTCCTTTCTTGTATATTAAGCCATAAGCTGAGAGGCTTAGCACCATCAATGAGTAACAACTAGACTTACTATGTGTCCAGCTGTGAGGGACACACATAAGACATGATCCCTTGGCTCCCAGGAGCTCACAGATCTTATTGGAGGAAGTAGAGGATCATCTAGAGAACTAAAAAACGCAGTTGCCATCAAGTCAACTCCGACTCCTAGTGAACCCATGTGTGTACTTGAACTGTGCACCACAGTGTTTTCAATGGTGGTCATCTTTGGCAGATCACCAGGCTTTTCTTCTGAGGTGCCTCTAAGTGGATTCAAACCACCAGCCTTCTAGTCAATAGCCAAGTGTTTAACCATATGCACCATCCAGGGACTCCAGAGAGCCACAAGAGTCCCACTTTATGGGGCTTGGTTGTAGATTGCTCTGAGCAGCACTAGGTTAGTGTGGGTCAGTCAATGCAGACAAGAGGCAGCTCTTTGGTAATTAACAACCACAGTAACATTTTTGGGGTTTTCCTGTGGATTGCATCATTTTATCCTCACAACATCCCCATAGATAGATTCTATTTTTATCACCATTTCATAGATGGGGAGACTAAAGTAACTTGTACAGTCATACAGCTAGTAGATAGAAGAGCTGAGATTCAAACCCAGGCAGTCTGGCTCCAAAACCAATGCTCTTAGCCCTTTTCCCTATACTATCCCCCTAGAGGGTCTAATCCTTAGAGGATGAGAGATTTTAGACAGGCAAAATGCCAAGGAGATTGTTGATGATTCAGTGGTAGAATTCTCGCTTTCCAAGTTGGGGACCTGGGTTCATGTCACAGCCCATGGACCTCATGTGCAGTCACCACCTATCTGTCAGTGGGGCTCCAGACTAAGACAGACTAGGAAGAAAGGCCTGGTGATCTACTTCTAAAAATTGGCCAATGAGAACAACGGTTTCATGATCTGCAACTGATTGTGGAGATAGTGCGGAACTGGGCAGTGTTTTGTTCCATTGTGCATGAGATCACCATGAGTCAGGGGCTAATTCCATAGCAGCTAGCAACAAAATACCAAAGAGTGAGAGTACCACGGATCTCGGTTTGGTAGTATTGGCTGTGGGCCTTTAGATAACTTTTCAAACATTTCTGAGCCTTGGTTTCCACATTGTTAAATGGGGACTGCATCTTCTTCACCGAGTGGTGTGATTGAGGGAGCATGTCTAGAGCACAGTGCAGGAGTGTTGTTATTAGAAATGGAGGGCAGAGAGGCACAGCCTGACCAACAGGCAGCATCCGGGATGAACAGGGACTGCATGTGGGAGGGGAGGGTGTTAGGGAGGGAGTCAGTCAAGCTAAAATGCAGGATGCCTGTGATGAGTGAGTAGGAAAGAAAAGCTGGGTTGGAAGCAGGAGGCAGGCCACTAAGGACTTGAAAGCTACCGTAAAATGCTCCACAACTCTTCATAATGGCAGGTGTGGGGATGCCACTGACATATGAAAATGTATTTTTTGGGAAAGAAAAACAGAATGCAAAAAGTCTGTACATGTCGACAGCTGTGTAAACACCTTGTGATCTGTTAAGCTTGGAGATCAGGAGAGCCTCTGGGGGGCTGCAATATTCCAGCTCACCCCTTTTTATTTATTTTTCTATAAAGATGTCTGGGTGTCTAATGAAAAATAAAAGTCAGTGGGAGGCCAGACTGAGGGTTTGGCTTTTAACCTGAGAACATCAATGAGGAGTCACTGCTGATCTTTTTTTCCTTTTTCTCTCTCTCTTTTTTTTTTTTTTTTGGCTTGTTTTTTTTAACTGAAATACCATTCACATGCCAAAAAATTTAAAAGAACCAGTTGCCATCGGGTCAACTCCAACTCATGCTGACCCCATGTGTGTCAGAGTGCTCCATGGGGTTTTCAATGGCTAATTTTTTCAGAAGTAGATTGCCAGGCCTTTCTTCTGAGGCATCTCTGGGTAGACCCTTTAAAAATCCTCCTTTAGAAAGGGGAAGCTTTTCTTACTGGTCTCATAGAGCCTGGTGAAACATGGCCCCTAGTTACCCTTCGGCCAAACAAGAGACTGGCATATGGGGTGAACATTTATATCAGGTAGATACACTCCTTGGAACGATCAATTATGGGAGAACAGAAGGGCAGTGTTTGCACAGGGAGACAGCTCATCGTGGTGGTGGTGGTGGTGGTGGTGGTGGTGGGGTGGGAGGGAAGGACACAGGGATGAGGTAACTATGCATAACTATGGGTAACTATGGGGAGGAAGTGGGAAGAGAGCTGTGACATTGTGGGGAATTGCAGTCAATGTCATGAAACAAAATGTGTATAAACTGCTGTAAGGAAAATGAAGTTGCCTCTGTAAGCTTTCACCCAAATCACAATCTAAATTTAATAAAAAGAAAAAGAAGGTGGAGCTTTTGCTTAGGGAGCATTTAGTTTACATTAATGGTGTGTGCGAAAATGGTCGCACACCTTGAAGAATGTACTCAACTGTACAGGAGAAATTGTTGACTTGGCAAATGTTTTGTTATGTATATTTTCACCACTATAAAATTTTTTTTTTATTAAAAAAAGAATAGGTTTTAGAAATCCACCGTTTTATATTTTAGTGTACTCACAAGGCTATGCCACCATCACCAGTCAATGCAGATTCTCAAATAGTAAGAGAGCCTCACAGAGCAGCAATTTAAGAACAATCAGTCTTTCCTTGTTCCCTGATCTCTCTCTGGTCCCTTCAGAATGCCCAGGAGAACCAAGGACTGGCTGTGCCCACCCCCTCTGTCCCAGAAGACTTTGCAGATAAAGATGTAACAGGTAAGAGGACCCTGGGCTTAGGGCTTGCCCAAGTTTCCTTCTTTCTTCCTTGGGAACTAAATGTCAAAGTCCAGCATCTGACCTACCTCCCCAGCTGGGGATAAACCGTGAGTCCCCACTCACAGCCACTCTCATGGCCCTTAGCCTCTTGGTTACTGGTTGCAGTGGGTAGAAGCAGTGGGGCTAGAGTTAAGAGCTGGGGTTGGCTAAGGCCTATTTCCAATGAGGGAAGGATGGTGAGTGGACAAGGACCAGAGCAGGAACAAGGACAGCATGAATCAGTAGAAAGCACTCTGGAGGCAGACAGGCCTCGCTTCAAATCCCAGCTCTGCTGCATGTTAGCTTTTCTCCCTTGGGTGTGTCACTTAACTCTTTGCACCTCTGTATCTTCAAATGAACACTGAAACAACAATTCCAGGAGCAAATGAAGTACTGGTTGGACATAGGTCACTTCATGTCACACCTCTGCTCAAAATCTACCAAGATGTCCCATGCCACTCAAAGAAAAGCCACAGTCCCTGCAAGGACTCATCTCCTGTTTTCTTTCCCTGCCTCCCTGTCTCCTTGGTGCTCCTGAAATTCCCAGGCCTGTTTCTGCCTTGGGATCTTTCCACTGACCCCTCAAATGCTCTTGCACTAGACATCTGTACCACACACCTCCTCACTCCTGTCTTTGCTCAACTATCAACTTATAAGTGAGGTCTGCTTTGACCACCTTACTGAAAATTGCCAGCTGAGCACCCCTTCCCTTTCTTCCCACATGTAAAAGAACCAGTTGCCGTTGAGTCAGCTCCAACTCATGGTGACCCCACGTGTGTCAGAGTGCTGCCAAGTAGATTTTCAACTTACAGCAACCCCATGTGACAGAGGAGAACTTCTACATAGGGTTTTCTTGGCTGTAATCTTTATAGAAGACTGCCATGTCTTTCTCCTGCAGAGCCACTGGATGGATTCAAACTGCCCATCTTTTGGTTAGCAAAGTATAAACCACTGAACCAACAGGGCATCTTGCTTTTTCCTCATAGCACTCATCACTAATGTAATTACTGACTAACTTACTATGTTCATCATCTGTCTCTTATTCAACATGTACTTCAGAAAGGTAGATATTTTTGGTTGGTTTGTTTTTACCTGCTGTGTCCCAGTTCCTATGTTGGTGCCCAACATGTGGATACTCAGTGAATGCTAGCATCCCCCTTCCTCTCTCCGTCTGCTCTTTGTTTGGAAGTCAAGCAGCTCCTAGGAGGCCATGGGAGCTGCTCATCCCCCAGCTCTGTGCTAGGAGCTAACCGAGAGGAGATACAAGATGGTACCCCTAAGAGAGAAGTACCAGATTCTAGGGAGGGGGCAATCTACTTCTATAGTGATACTGCCTTGGAAACCCAAGGAGGGGGTCACTGTGAGTGACGGCATAGTTTTTTTTTTTTTTATGGTTCTTTTACCCAACCTTCCTCCCTGAGGAGGTCTCCAGGTCCCTGTCTCTGATGTATGACTTCCTATCTCTCCCCCAAGGAACTGTGGTGGTGCTGTGGTTAAAGCATTGGGCTGCTAAACAAAAGGTCAGTGGGTTGAATCCACCAGCTGCTCAGTGGGAGAAAGATGAGGCAGTCTACTTCCTTAAAGATTTATAGCCTTGGAAACCCTATGGGACAGTTCTACTCTGTCCTATAGGGTCGCTATGAGTCAGAATCAACTCAAAGGCAGTGGGTTTGTTTTTTGTTTTCTCACTCTCCCACCGTCCCTACCTTATATGGGCTGAAAAGTTAGGCTCAGGTGGTAGTAGGCAAAGGGTTTATTATTTATTGTATACTATGGGGCAAGGCGCTCTGGTAGTGCAAAGGTTAAGTGCTCAGCTGCTAACCAAAAGGTTGGTGGTTGAACCCACCCAGTGGCTCTGCAGGTGAAAGACCTGGTGTTCCACTTTATAGCCAAGAAAATCCTATGTGGCAGTTTTACCCTGTCACATGAGGTCATTATGAGTCAGAATCAACTGGATAGCACCCAAAACACAACATGGGCCTGGCACTATGACAAGGCTTTTACATGTATTTACAAGAATTCTCTTTATTTAATCCTTGCAATAGCTTTATGAGGGAGCTCTGGTGGCATAGTGCCTAAGGCATTCAACTGCTAACCAGAAGGCTAGTGGTTCAAATCCACCAGGCACTCCTCGGAAGGAAGATTGGGCAATCTACTTCCGTAGTGATACTGCCTCGGAAACTCAAGGAGGGGTCATTATAAGTCAGGACAGACTCTACAGCAGTGAGAAACAGCTTTATGAAGTAAGCACTAATTTATTCTCATTTCATAGATGAAGAAACTGAGGTTCAGCAAGGTTTATTAGCATGTCTAAGGTCACACATCTGGTAAGTGGTAGAGCTGAGATTTGAACCCTGGGCTTTTTGGCTATATATCAGTCAAGATCTTGTCCAGAAACAGGTGGCACACTCACTCAGAGGGGATAACCAGAGAGAGTTATATTAGAGTGTGAGCAGAGTTAAGTGGACCAAGTGAACAGTGATGCCTCAGGGACTGGCAATGGTGAGATGCTCCTATCCCCAAGCTGTGGCTGCAGCTGTGGGAGAGGGGCCGCCCCACAGGAACTGTGGTCTATGGTAGAGAGATGCAACTGCTGCCAACCAGTGGCACTGAAAGGGAGCCAGGAATAAATACCTGAGCCTCAACCCCTTATCCTGTCCTTGTATGTCCTTGTCTCCCATTGGCTGAAGCTACCTGTAGCCAGAAGGTAAAGGAACCCAGAGCAGGGCTGAGAAGAATGGAGAGTGCTCTGAGGAACAGATGGAGAGTATTCAATTCAGGCTCCAAAGGTTGTGCTGGGGACAGGAGGGCGCCCTCCCCAGAAAGAAGAGGGTCACCCCTAGGGCAGCTTAGGAGACTGGAGACAGTGCTGCCCCTCACTTGGGGTTCAGGAGGAAAGGCATGAAACTGGCCAGTTCTCTTCTTAGGTGCCCTCTGACTCTGCCCTGGTGAGCAAGGATTGCCAAGGCCCTTCCTCATCTTGGCTTCTCCCTTCTTTCAGGTACCAGCTCTCTCGTGAATGGCAACCTCCGATTGTATAGCTCTGTCGGGGACCTAAGGCCTGGGCACTATGGCCAGGACCTACTCATCCCCCCGCCTCCCCCTGGCCCAGCCCCGGGGCCACCCTCAGATATCTGGAAACCCCGAGGGG